ATCTGTTGATCATTTGCAGGGGCCACTGAAACACAGGTATATCAAGGAAAACATTATCTTTATATTCACACATACATCATTTATGTTTATCCTTTAACTAGTGTCACGCTGCTTCACTGTTCATGATATCATGAGTCCTTCATTTTTCTTAATGAGATGTAGGAGCTAGCTTAGCTAGAGATCATTATTAAATGACAACAATTTATCATTTTTATAAAGAAAGGTAGTATAGAAACTTCTTCAGTTAACTCCAGAACTAAAATCTAAGTTTATTAGKCTGAATAATTATCCATAATTTGACAAAGAAATGTCCGCAGCAGTTTTCCTCAGATTAAAACGTAGCACAAACTACATTAAAATTAGTTAAAAATATCGGAATATTTGAGGTGTATTTACAGATCTGACCTGAATGAAGCAGATAAAGAGGAGTAATGAGGACACGATGCTCTCCGTACAGTTTTAGCGGGGAATCGGWTCGGTGCAACAACCGTRCCGTCTGTTTATCAGTCCCCGGAACAACAAAAACACGCACGAAAGTTCCGCCCATCACTACCGGACTCAGTAGATGCAAATGTGTCCAGCGTGTGATTCTCTTCTCTGCACGATCAGAAATTATTTCTAGTTGCAGGAAAATGTTGAATCGAATGGAAATTGAGTGAAAAAATGTTTAAATAAGTAATGGAGTGTAAATATTTGTTTGTCATATGCAAAGGAATAAGCTAAACTGAGGCAGGCAACACAAGCAAGCGACCCTTAACAAAACATGTACAAAAAATGCTTCCTCTCACCAAAATCAGTGGTCAACAAAACGCTATATGACAGAAAATAAATAAACTAGCTCAACAATTTGTGCCTTCTGTAATTTCGTAAATGGCCACAAACGGGCGCCGCTGCTTGTAACAGCACCGTGAACAGCGCCTCCCAGAGGAAGAACCGGGATTTCCTCTCGTTTTTCTTCTTTTAGCATCCAGGCTCCTAAGGATGTGTCTGTCGGCGTGATTTGCACCTGCTTCACCCCTCATGTCGGTGTTCGGTAGCTGAACTGAGCTTTTTTTTTTTTTTTCAATTGGCGCTGTCAGTAAACCACACAGAAAGCTGTAGACGACGTCATTTAATGTCATCAGAGAGGCGATAAAGGGCAGCGACTGAGAGGATGTGGTGATTCCCCCCCCTTACAAGATACAGCAGTGAGACAGCATCTTTACCGGTGACACACCATTTAACACTACAACTGGACAAGGTACGAGGGAAATATTTTATAACACGGTAATAATCTTGTTGGAGTGGTTCTAAAGCTTTTACTAAATGTCAGTATAGAAAGCTTAGCTGCGTTTTAGCTACTGCAAATTAACTTGCTGACGTTACTCCTTATGTAGATAATAATAATAATAATAATAA